CTTTATTCATTCATTCAACCTGTGTGTTTTAGTAGTTTTATATATTGATCTTTAGGAGAAAGTAAACTAAATCATCCACTTTTACAAAATTTTTTTGAAACAAAGTAAAGATAAAAGATGAACCAACTTTGTAGCTTTTGTGAGTTTTTGACCTTTATAGATATTTCTTGTAGGTTTTATAGTTGTATAGAACTAATATATTCAACTTTGTTGTTTACTTAATAAAAAACTTTGGCTTTCACTAATTACTTCTTTTATAGTTCCAAAGTGTATTTAAACTATTACCACAAAGCTGTAACTTCTTTTTTAACTCTATTTCAATGTTCAACTATATATGTACAGTACTCTGGAAAAGTTTTTATAAGGTTTAATATATTAACTATATCATTTTTTTGTAATTTAGCTTTTTAAAAAGTTTGATTTAAATAATTATCAAGAAGAGTTGTGATCTAGTTTTTTATTATTAAATTTACAAATTAGTTAATTTGTTTATAAAAATTATTATTTGATAATGCTTTAAATAATCAAAAAATATTTTAACTTTAGTTAAACAGGTTCTGTTACAAGTGTTTATTATAATTTTTTTTATATAAAGTAGAACAATTTGATTCAGATAGAAATCCAAATACTTGTAAAAAAGTATATATATATTTTGGTTTATAATTACTACTTAATCTATAAATACTTAATAGTAAATAAATTTAACTATTCATCTATTTTATAAATTTATCAAATGCATATTTAATTTCAATTTAAAAAATTTATTTAAGCTAATAATAGTATCTAGTAACAAAATATTTTCTATATCTAGCATCCTATTACAAATATATTTTTAACATTATTTTAAAATTTCTTTATTTAAGTTAATACTATATTAGGTATTTTATAAATATGATTTTTAGCAGAAAGATAATCAATATTATTTAAACTATAAATTCAAAGAATTAAGTTATATTTAGTTAAAAATTAATAAACGGATTTATAAAATTCTTTATCAAACTTTACAAAGTATTTTATTTATAAAATTAATTATATATTATTAATCTATTTATTAAATGTTTATTATTTTTGAATATAGTTTTTAGAACATTACTTATTATATTTAATTTTTTTAAAAATATAATGTAAACTGTTCATAAATTTTAATTTAATTAAGATATTGCTTTGAAAGTTTTAGTTTATACAACTATCTTTATTGAATTGATTATTGATATTTTGTAAACTCATAATTAAAAACTGTCTTATATAAATTTCAAATAATATTAACTTTAAATTTAATAACCTGTTTTTATTACTTAAATTATAACTATTATATAAATAAAAAGCTAAATAAAAAGCATTATATAGATGCTTTTTTAATAATAAATCTTTGATTGTATTTGCTTTTTTAAATACTAAATTATAAAAGTTATATAAGCTGTATATAATTTATATAGAATTCAAAAAGATATTGAATATAAAATATTATTAAATGCCTCACCGTTAATATTTAAAAAAAAAAAAATATTATTAAATTAAGCAATTACTTTACTAACTTTTGATGCCATATATGAAATATTATTTGCTAACCAAAATAACAATTTTTTAATCAATTATAGTTTTATTACAAATTTGTAAACTTATAAATAAATTATATTAATATTACAGTATAAAATGTTTTTTAATTTAACAATGATAATAGTTAGATATTTTTAATTAAATTTCAATATAAAAAATATATTATTAATACTTTTTTATTTTGAATGCTTTTATTAACCATTATTTCAAATTTAAAAAATTATGATACATTTTGATTAGACTAATTCTCATAAAAAAATAATGCTGCAATATCTTTATCCCATTTTATAATTTTACTTAAGCAAACCCAATATGTTGATATATATTCTATTAAAAATTCATAAACAGTTTTTATACAATTAACTGTAACTTGAATAGAAGTAACTTTCATATTACTGATCTAGTTGTTAATTTTATAAAACCAGCAGTATATATTTTTTTCAAATAATTTTTCTATTGCATAACAAAGTTGATTAGGTTAAACTTGTTTTGTATTTTAAATAACTATCCAAATTTTGAAAATATATCTTTTTTTTATATTTTTTACATGTACAACTTGTATTGAAAATGATCAAATATAAGAAATTAAATTAATTTTATTTTTTTAAAAAAGAGAAATCTCTTTTTTAAGCTTCATAATTTTAGACATTGTAGTCTGTATAGAGGTATTTTTTTTATATAATTCAGTATTAAAAAATTTTACAGCTTTTAATTAAAAATAAGAAGACAAAATTTCTTTTTTCTAATTGCCTTGTAAATACATCATTATTTGGAATAAATAAAATGCTTTAGAAACTTGATTCACAGATAAATTTTGAATTTTATTAACTCATTTTTCTTTTGTTCACTTTATTAACATTACACATTTTTTTGATCTGTTTAGTCATTGTAATAAATTCACTATTATTTAAGTTATTAAGATCTTTGAATTTTATTTAGTGTTATGCTTTTAAAAAGGTTTCGCTTTTTGCATATATTTGTTAAATATTTTTGTTGTTTTCCAATTCGAACTATATATTTTTAAATAACTTAAACAAATCTTTGTACTATTTGTCATAAACATTGTATCACTCAAATATCAATTAATAGTTATTAAATACTTTTGTTAAAAGTATTATAAAAATTTTTTATAATTTCTATAATAATAAAAATATTAATATATTTAAAATATGCGGTTATAACTTAATAGAGACACTCTTAAAAAGTAAATAACAACTTGCAAAACTTAAAAAATCAATATATCAGAAGTTATTAAAGTTTGCACGAAGACATTTTTTATTAATAATTTAATTTATTTGAAATTTTCGAAAATTAATTAAAATCTTCAATAATGATTTTTACTATGTATCTTTGTGATTAAACTGATTGTTGACACCCCAATCACTGGTGCCACTGGGGGCTACTGGATCAGTCAGTTGATTCCTTGAGAAATTCTCATTTTAACGCTACGGTTGATCAACACATAATTGTTGTTTCGGATACGAAAATCCCGAAAACTGGATGTACTTCTTTTCAGGATTTTGAACAGGTCCCATTGGTAACATTGATTCGGATTTAATGAAGCAATTTACATAATATTTTAAATGGTGAAATTTGAATTAAATTAAACGAAATCTTTAAATTTTAATAATTTGCGCACTGTGGCACTTGAGTAATGTTAAGACTAATGAGCGAAAAATCTCAAAAGAAAATATTTTTTTTCCTATGCAGCTAGCTGTGCTGATTTATGATTGTAAAAATGTATTATAATGGTATTTAAAATGGGAAAAATACCTAGTACTCAACTTCTTATATAAACTATAGTCTATAGCCTAAATGGTAGCTTAACGCAAAAAAAAAATTTTCAGTATGAAATTTTACAGAACTCAATACTAATATAGATAAAGTCCCGGAAAAAAAATTTACTATTAGCTGACTTTTCAGTATGCATTCATAGTTCCTAATTTTTATAGAATACGCATTCACTTTAGCTCTTTTATTAGTTGTTATACAAGACTATCAAATCAATTTATTATATTTGAGTGCGTGAGAGTGAAAATCCGGAAATACATTTAATGATTTATTATGATTGGCTACGGGTTTTCACTCTCATGCACTCATTTATTATTTTTATCGTTATTAATTAATAACGATAATATTAAATTGTCCAAATATGAACTAAAAATAAGCAATCCAATTGATCCAATCAAAAATTAAAATCTAAACTTATTCATTCCCAAAATCTAACATATTGACAGTACTAAGATGGCGACGCATCTTCTACCTATATTAGTATTGTTCTATTGTTCGGACCTAATTTTACTATGAATTCATATGTTACCTTCTTTTTATTATCGCTGTTTGCAACTTTGATCAAATTTGTAGATAGCTGCATGCTCGAATGTCGATTGCGATTTCTCGACAATCATCTGATCAAATTCGATGAAATTTTTTTTTTTTTTGAATTTTATGAATCTATTGAATTCAAATAAAAAAAAAATCCATCGAATTTGGTTAGGTGGTTGCTGAGATATCATCGCTCAAAGTTTTTTTTTTAAAATGTCAAATAGAAGTTGCGCCAAATTTTCCTAAAGTTTGAGCGAAGATATTTCAGCAACCATCTGATCAAATTCGATAAAGTTTTTTTTTATTCGAATTCTATAGATCCACAGAATTCAAATAAAAATTTTTCATCGAATTTGATCAGATGGTTACTGGGATATCTTCGCTAAAAATATAAAGATATCTCAATAACTGACTAAATTTGATGAATTTGATCAGGTGGTTGCTGAGATATATTTGCTCAAAAAAAAATATTAAAACGTCAATTAAAATAGAAGCTGCGCCAAATTTTTCCTAAAAGTTTGAGCGAATATATCTAAGCAACCACCTAATTAATTTCGATGGATTTTTTTATTTATTTGAATTCTATGAATTCATAGAATTCAAATAAAAAAATTTAAACAAATTTAATCAGATAGTTGTTGAAATATCTTTGCTCAAGTTTTAGGGAAAATTTAGCACAGCTTTGATTTTTGATGATATTTTTAGCGAAGATATCCCAGCGACCATCTGATCAAATTCAATGAAATTTTTTTATTTGAATTCCGTGGATCTATAGAATTCGAATAAAAAAAATTTCATCGAATTTGATCAGAAATCGCATCAATCTACAAATTTAATATGCCAGAATGAGATAATGAGAGTAATGACGATGAATGTTCTTTCTCAAGACATATAAAGCGATGAAAATAAGTCACTTCTTAACAGTTCACTGACCACTATATATCGGTATATTCAATTATCCTAATCAATTTTCTAAAAAACACGTTATCTTATCGAAATCAATTTTCTAAAAATACGTTACCTTATCGAAAATGAACAAGAAATATATACTATGTATATTTGCTGTATTGATAACCATAACGAATTCAAGTTATGCGTTTCCAGCGTATTCTAAACCTATGAGTAAAAGAGCAACATTGGCACCTATGAGTAAAATATTTAATATTCCATCAGGAGTAGGAACGAGTAATACAGCAGAAATTTCTGTTGACGATATTAATAATTTAAATGCTGTCGGAAAATTAGACATTGTAAAAAATGACGGATCGTCCGATTGTTGTACTGCTACTGTAATTGGAACTAATAATGGAAATATTGCGATGACCGCTGCACATTGTCTTTATGATTTTAACACTCAGACATGGAATTATCAAGTTTATTTTTATCCTGGGTACAACAATGGACAACAAGGTATAGTTGGAAAACTTACAGCTACAAGAGGGTATATATTTCAAACTTTTGAGGAAAATCCTATAACGTATGATTATGGCTTTATAAAGCTTGATTACCCGGAAGGAAAAAGATTGCAAGATGATACAGGATTTTTCAATTATGATCTCAATATACTTCGTGATAATTATCCAGTTAATGTATTTGGTTATCCAATTAACGGTGAAATGGCCTGTCCCAGAGATGGACAACATCTTTGTGAGTACGAAGGACTTTCATTTGATATGCCACCGGATGTTCCAAACCCCCAATCGTATAGAGCTATAACTATAGATGTTGGTGAATGCTCAAGTGGGGGTCCTTGGGTAAGAGTTTATGATCCACAAACTAACACAGGCAATGTAATGGGTGTCTCACATGGTATATTACCTGAGCCTTATCCTGATGAAAGCGCCGCTTGGTCATGGACTAGCGAAGAATTTACAAGGCTATTGAACTTTGCTGAAAATAATTAATTTACATATTACAATGATAGATTCACCTTAGACGAACAAGATATACTTGAAACTCCTATGACAGGTTTAAATTATTATAACGTTTGTTTAAACTTTTGTAAATTAAACTTGAAAATAAATTTATGATTTACCAATTGGATCATTATATTACCACATTTTCGTGAAATAACACGCAAAAATGTAATTTCGAATTTTGGCTTAGATTAAGCCTATTATTATCCAATTACTTGACAGCGAAATGTTAAACACCCCCTGCGGTTCCAATTCGGGTACCCGTTTGCGGAACACTAGTTACAGTAATTATTTCAAATAGTGTAACGCTTCAATCTAGTTTGTTTTGATTTTTCTTCTATTTTACTACTTTTTTTAATTATATTTAATTATTTTCAAATAAAAAGATGAAGTTTTTAATTTCATTGGTTGAGTAGATTATCATTTTTCATATCTATCGTCTCATTTATCTATCAGTTGAAAGAAAGGTCGTTATAAATATCAAATATTGGATCATAGTCTATGTCACAATTCATTTTAAATTACATTATGATAGCGGAATGGTATGAATTGAGCGAAAATATATGATATAGTTACGTTTACAATAACATGTAAAACGCATTACATAAATATTAGCTATGTAGCATTTCAAGAAAAAAAAAAAAGATAAATTCAATAAATACCAATTATATTGTGTAATATATATAATAATTTCGATATTAGTATTACGTATTTTATTACAAGTATAACATATTAAACGTCATTCTTTTTGGCTTAATTAGCACTTGCGATCGTATGATCATGTTTCCGGTTAATGATAGATATGTTTCATTTTAGGATTTCGGAACTTGGTTTAATTTAGTTTCTGAGCATTTCTTATATTTCTTTAACGAATGAATTTAAATTATTTCGGTTCGGAATATTACGTATTAGTTTCAAATCTCGTCACATTAAATTTACATAATTAATACGATGAAATAGAACCTGTAAACATTTATTATAAAAAGGAATAATATGTCATATAGTAGGAGTGTCATAACAAATACTGTTAAGGTCGTAATTTTATAAGTGAATATAAAATACAAAAATGACAGTATATTCATTCTGCCAGAGTTTCTTGAATACTCTATTGACGCGTAAGAGATGAAATTATTCACCCTATTTTTCATCTCGATCTTCATATTCTACATCAATGTTGTAAAATCTTATGTTCTGATCCGCCAAGATTTTGTTGAAAAGGACGCGTGTGCAAAGATATACAAGCAAGGCGTTGAACAATCAGAACAAGACAATAAAGTAGTGAAAGTTAGCTATCAAGATGCAAAAGAATGTTTGGAGAGTTTTAGATATAATCGGACGATAGCTGTTAAAGTAAGTCTAGAAGAAGGGAAGTCGATGATATAATTTAAAATAATTACTAATTTTTCACCATGTTACTAAAGACACTTGACACCATCAAAAAAACACTTCAAGGATTTTATCCATATCTGGAAAAAGCCAAAGAAGAACCAGCACCAGAGTTTAGTACCAAACCTGTTGATCTTATTAAAGAGCTTGATTTGTTACTTGAGAGGGATGATTACACCACGGATCTTCAGTTTATGGTAAGTTTTTAATCACAATGTCGCGACATGACACTTCACGTGACTCATATTAGTTTAATATTATCGATAAAGACAGATGTCCAGGACACCGTTGGGTCACTAAAGGATGGACATCTTTTTTTCTCATCGAACTGTTACGTGAGTCGATTCGTATTTACACAGCAACTCTATTTGTATTCTACGATTAAAAATAATGAAACTCAGGTATATGCATTTAAGATATGTATTTAAAGTTTGGTTGATTCAAAATAAATTTAATTTGTTATAGGTAATCCAAGTCCTTGAAGACTTACTAGATCCTAGTAACGATGAATGTGAAGTTACCAAAATCGATGAACATCCAGCGATGGAAGTCATCATTGAATTTGCATATACACTTCCAGAATTTAGAGATCTAGGAGTAGCATTTAACAATGCATTAACTTCTTATACTATAAATAATGGAACAAATATTTCACTTAATCAGCCACAATTTACGACACGTTCTAATCTTCCAGAAAAATCTAGTATTTCGTACACGTTGACTTGTACTAAAAAAAACTCTACGATAATTGAAAAAACTATCTCGCGAGAATGGGTAGCGATTGATCAAATACCCAGAGTGTTTAAAGATTCAAAAACATATTGGAACGAATTTTGTATTGCGAAACATAATGATACAAAGGTGATTACGGAAAACAAAAATAAAGAACTTGAATTGAAACATGGAAGATTGTTATATAGTGAAGATTTTGCAAGTTTTTACACATTGGGAGAAACTGGAATCGTAGTAATTTCATCATTTATATCCGAAAGTAGTAATGACACAAAGGTTGTGATGGATATGATGAAAGGATTAAATCACGGATTTAAATTGCTTGCCCAAGCACGCGTTAAGAAGGTAACTTTATTAATTCTATTTATAATTCTATTTAACAAATAAGATTATTTTTAAATGAAAAAAAATTTTTTTTTCTAATAAAGCTTGTATTAGATTTACAAAATAACAATGGAGGCTTTATAGAAGTATCACAATTTGTCGTTCATCGCCTCTTTCTCTCAGCAAATCCATTCTTTCCAAATGACAACTTAGTCACGCCATTGTTTTCCTTATCAGTTCAAAAAGCATCAGAAAAATCAGAGCCGTCCACTGATTTTAGTCCAAAAGCATATCTTAACGCATATACTTATCAGCAATTTGATAGTGCAACGGACTTTCTCGGTGAAAATTATCAAATTCGGGACAATAATAAAGTTCGTACCACGAATAAATATATTGACGCGAACAATACGCAAGATTTTCAAGAAATAATTGGGTCAAATATTAAACCGCTTCCGTGGCAATCAAAGGACATGATCATATTAACAAATGGCTTATGTGGATCAGCATGTGCAGCACTAGCACAACATTTATCAGACTACGAAAATGTCAAGACAGTTGCAGTTGGAGGATTCTATAACAGACCTATGTCATATTCGAGCTTTATCGGTGGAAGCGTGACAGACTTTGTAACATTGATGGGAATGCTTAAAGAATTAAATGTGACAGATGATAACATTGCGCCTAGAGAGTTTTTAGTAAGTACAACATTTAGTTTCACCTTCAGAGAGATTTATGGTTGGAAAGATGAGAGAGAGTTGTTGGAGTTTAGTTTTAAACCAGCAAAGGAAAGACTATATTATAATAATAAGAATGTTAGGGATCCTAGTTTGTTGTGGGTTGAGGTTGCAAAGTTGATTGATTGAATGATTAGTAAAATAATACTTGAAATTATATGCACATTTGCTTAATAAATACTGAACACGTATTTCAGATACGTATAAATAATTTGCATGCAATCAATATACTGTAGCAATATACTGTATGTAGAAATAACTATCTTTTTTTGTTGTAATTTGCCAATACACGTACGTAGTCAGGGTAACATTTTTTATATGCATAAAGTAATAATTCTACTTTATGAAAAAAGAAGCTATGACTTTATGCAGATTTTCCTTTGTATTATACATGGGATAAATCAACTAAAGCATGGAAAAAATGACAGCATAGAGGTTGCATTAGAAGAATTTACATGGCCCATCCTCCTTTTTTCAGAAAGACATAAGAAACATTAAGCTAGTGTCAGCTAACTTTATCGAGAATATGTCCCTTCTGGAAAATGACTTTCGGTATATTGATACGTACAGTACATGCGTATATATCGATTTCAAAAGAGACCGTCTACGGTTACACGACCGTTAAAGAATTTTTTTTTAAGAATTTCGGATAACTTATCCCTTCTATGAAAATGTGTAAGTACCACAAGTAAACCTGAAGTTTTTGTGCTGTATTTTAGTAATATCAGTTGAATTCATTGGAATCCACAACTTTCATATTACGATTTATCTTACTGCAGTTGTAGGCAATTACGAAACTAAGTACGTTAACAGAATTTCATTTATTGAGTAAAAAGCTTAAAGTACGATTAACAAACATAGGAAGAAAAAATTAGTTTACATAAAAATCTTAGAAATAACAAAGTATTATTAATTGTTACTACTATTGTATTAAGATTGTGTTAAGTCACGTCATTAAATGACGGGAATAAGGTATTCAACTCGTTATTCAATGAAAGTATTTGACCCGTTATTCGATGATGAGTATAAATTTTATAGAAATCAAATTGCCAAAATTCAATATGCACTTTGGTACTAAAGTCGCGAAGGTTTTCTTAGAATAGTTGCATAAAGACATTATAGTATAAGGTGTTAGAGATTTGATTAGATGTATAATATATCATTGAGATTTTATAAATTTAAAATTAATAAATTAAGTCAACATGTTTGCTTACCAAATAACAACGTTTAAGTGCATTGATTTTTAGCCTAAAGTTTTAATTAAACATTTTAATTTTGATAACTTTATAAAGATCAAACATATGATATTTCTTACATTGTAAACAATTTACGATTTTTACATTTGAAAGGTTTCTTAAAAATATGACGTTTGTATGAACTGAACTCCACGGGAGTCTAAGTACTTTTACAGTAATGTATAATCGAAAAAAAGTAATACCTAAAACTGATGTCTAAATGGTTCTTGGGAAATGTAATTTTACACAAATAGATTGATGCTTTAGATATATAGCAACGAACTCTAACAAGAGATCTTAAATTCCCGGAACACCTGATAGAAATTAACCGAATGATTTTTCGATTGATTCTATATAAAAATTCAGAATCCACTTAAATTCCGTTTCCGCTTACGACATATCAATTTGAACCAATAATGCTGAAATTACAAATCATTCTGTTAATTTTTCAGAAATTATGAAAACAGCTGTAAAGTATTTTTTGAGAAGATAATGGTTCACTAATAAAAGCGTCAATGTCGCTGTGCAAAAGAATCAAACTCTCAAAAAACTTTTGTTTAAAAGAAAAGATGCAATATGTAGATCAATATGTAGATCAATATGGTAATTGGATTATATCATAAATTACGTGTCAAAAAAAAAGTATTTAAGACAATGTTTTTTTGTTATCGTGCAACTCTAATGATTGTAGATTTTTTTTTCTTGTTATTTTTTACACGTTATTAGTAAGCACAACAATCCTGAATTAAAACTCAGTTAGCCAACCACGACTCGTAAATCATGATCATAATTGCACGATAACATCGATATTGGATTGCGATGATAAATATTACAAAATTTGGTTTGTCAGAGCAAATGATCGGCTGAAACGTGCCGCTACGTGTACATGTCAGCCAATCGTTTGCTCTGACAAACCAAATTTCATGATATTAATCGTTGCATGACCAATATTTTATACTTTTTATATATTTAAATCTTTTTATTATAATTAAAAAAAATTTATATAAGAATAAGTCAAATGTGATGAGTTTCTTGTTTTGTTTTTCAAAGATGAATTTATTATTAGTATAGGTTAACTTTTTTATAATTGATTAATTTTATTTAATTAAATTTATATAGTTTAAAGTAATTTTGTCTTTTAACATAGTAAATTTTTTTAAAAAAATATAATTGTTATTTATAATATTATAAAGATTTTTTACAAATAAAAGTTTTAAGTATTTTGAATATTTTTAAAATTTATTTTATTTAAATAAACTTTATTTAAAATCAGTTTTTTTAGTAATATATAATAAATGCAATATATATATTAAAGCTTTTAATTAATTTACAAGAAAATATAACAATTTTGTAAAATTAATAAGTTGTTATTTCTTTAAATTGCAGGTTATAAGTTCAAAACCTATTAAAAATAAAAATTAAAAAATATTTAAAAGGTGATTTATATTAAAATAGCTTATTTTAATATATAGTTTATTTTTTATTTTTTTTTCTTCTTTGACAATCTTTTAGTGTCTATACATATTTCTAAACAATGTTTTCAATTTTAAAGGTTATTGGACCTTAATCTTTTCTGGTCTGTAATTTTAAACTTTCTAAAAGTGATTCATTGTATTGACTTTTGCTAGAATCAGAAGATTTCATTAAGCTTTATCAAGAACTAGTTATTTACTGTGAGTTTATATAGTATTTATAAGTATTAGACTTTCAGCCTTACATTATGTCTCATGACTTTAATTATTTCAAATTAGGCTCTAATTTATATTTATTACTATATAGTTTTTTAATTGCAGGTTATTTGTCATTTATAAAAATAAGTCTGTTCATTAATATCCTAGATTTTTAAGATATATAGTTTATTTTAAATTAATTAAATTTAAATATTTGTTTTAATTTTTAGACTAATCTGAAATTAAGCAAATTTTACAATTTTAATTAGTTAAAATAACAAATAATTATTAAGTAATTTTATAATATATTTGGTTTTAATCAATATTATATAATTTTTTTTACATTATTTTTATTTTTATTATATAAATTAATCTTTATTTATAATTAACAAATATTAATTATATAAAAAATAAAAATTTATTTTTTAAAAAAAAATTACAAAATATATATTTTTAATATTAAGTATTTTAAAAAAATATAACAACTTAGTAAAATAGACAAGTTGTTAACCTTTCAAATGATAAGTTATAAGTTCAAAACCTACTAATAATATAAATTTAGATAATCATCTATATAATATATAGATAGTATTACAATAATAGTATTCTGTTAATCAATTAAAATAAGATATCTATAACTACAGTTATATTAGTATAACTGACAAGTTATAGATATTTGTATAACTAATTATATAGAAAAATACAAACTGAAAATAGACAATGCAAACTCAAAATAGATTCTTGTAACTATGTAAATTTATAGAACTGAAAAATAAATTGAAATTCACTTAAGAAGACTCAAATAGAGAGATAATATAAATCTTTGACAGTATCACTATAAAGATTAAATCTAGAAAATAGATATCTATATAAAGAAATTAAGCAAATAAGAACTTGAAATGAGAGGTCTATTAATCAAATTGTTAAAAGTCTCAAATCAAAGAAAAAAGATATCAGATGTTATAACTCTAATATATCAAAGACAGGTTATAGTCCTTTTAAACTATCTGAATTAAAAATCTAATAACAAAAACAAAGATATATTATAAGTATTGTAATAGAATTTATTTTTTTTCCTATATTAGTATATATTTATTTTTAGCTCTATATTATATTTTATAATTT